GTGTGGAGTAATTACGGGTAATTATCACCCTTACATGCATTTTGCTTTGTGTACACACAGAACAATTGTGTGTCCAATCATGGGAGACAATTTGTATTCTTGTATTATTTGAAGTGTTCATTTGAGATTATTTACTTACTTCTGATGTGTATGGGCTTTGGAAGAGTGATGAGTGGCCAAATATGATTGTTATTGTGATTGGTTATGTTGAGCGTGCTCCAACTATAGCTATGCACTGCAAAACCCGCAAAAGGTGATTGATTTTATGATAAATTGGGGGGAGTGTTACTGTTGCTTAGCCTATGACTGAGAGAGGCAGGCTGACCAATTCAAAATAAATAGGGAGTAGAGAAGATCAAAAATATTGCTTTGTTTCTGTTAATGTTTTATTTAATGGTACGTATTTCTGGGAGCCTGGAGTAACCCGGAAAACAGAAGGTCAGTGCTCAGTAACCAGCATATCAGGCTGAGAAAGGAGGCAGGAGCTAAAGCCAAGGAAGGAGGGAAGGGAGTCAGAGGAGATAAGATTCTGACCCTAGTGGTCTGGAAACCATCAAGCTATTACTCAAAAGCAACCTTGCTATGACCCAGGGAACTCAATGCAGCACAGAGTTGGGCTGAGCTGAGAGCACAATATAATCTACAAGAAAGGCTGGTTGGAGCCCAAACTCACCACAACTTGAACTGGGAATGTCTGAACAGCTGATCTAAGTGCTTGCCTTGGCTGTGATGATGTGCTGCAGCAGACATAACCAACATCTGTATGGTCACAGGCTGCTCTGTTTGCAGATAAGGGTTTGGAGGCTGGAAGTACCGTATATTTTGCTGCACACACTGGCTTGACCATTGGGTCAGGGAGAAGCTCCTTTAAGAGATGGGCTGGAAGCAGCAAGAAGTGAAGGGGTGTGAGCAGCTGCAGAGAGGTGGGACAGGCTACAGGATCAACCCAAAAGGAAGTCTCCTGCATTAAATCAACAATGAAATGCTTGTCAGCCAGGAGCAACTGGGGGGAGAGGCATCCCCAGAACTCTTGGCAGCAGTATCACTGCTGCATATTGCGGTGGTTGAACAAAATAACACAACACGATGGCCAATAACAATGGCACTAAACACTATTTATAGACGAATGCAAATGAACAGAAATTACAACCAAAGTCTTTAAATCTTCTTCACCAGTTGCGGTAGAATCATACAAAAGTTTGATATATACATAATCTGTCACCAAATATCGCCGGAACAGAAATTATTAATTCTTACAAGTCTGGCTGATGAAGAATTGATCAAGATTGGCTGATGAAGCATTGAATGAAACAGATTGGTTATCCAGAAACTCTGTTCCGGCAATATTTGGTGACAGATTATATATATATATATCAAACTTTTGTATGATTCTACCCCGACTGGTGAAGATTTAAAGACTTTGGTTGCCATTTCTGTTCATTTGTATTAGTCTATAAATAGTGCTTAGTGCCATTGTTATTGGCCATCGTGTTGTGTTATTTTTTCCAGCTTGTCTACATTGCAACACAGGCGTCTGTTTATGGCATATTGTGGTGGAGCAGGGTGTCAGCAAGGTTGGGGTGCTGCAGGCACTCCCACCAGTGTACCCAGACCACCCCAAACTCACTACCATCTGGACCTGCCCTTGTAGCATGATGATAAGCTGCTTGCCAAGACAGAGGTGGATCGGGATATGGAGCACGCATTCACAGACACAGCATTACTCAAACAAATATGTACACCTTAACTTTACATACCAGATTCAGAAGATATGTGACATAACTGTAGCGGCTTATAAATTATTGCTATTAGTTCTTTCAGGCCTCTTGCCAGTTGCTTTGAAGCTGAGGTCACTTCCAACGCTTCCCCTACCCTCTGCAGGGTCTTCCCAAGCAGATCCGTCCACGTTCAGACTGCCCTCCTGAGTTTTGTGTACATTAGGTTCCTGGCCTATTAGACGCACTTCATTAACCTCCCATCTCTCTATAAATAAGCCTTTGGGAAACGACGTCAGTTCTCGAGAATTCTTTAGGTTAAACTTTGAGTGGACTTGCCTTTAATCATTCCTTTGTGTTTATTCCAGTTTTGAACCAAATTGCTGTCTAGACTTTGAGAGAATATACAATTGGCTCTTTTGTGTCCAAAAAGAACAATTAAGGAATACAAAGTATGTGTGTGTGGTTTTTTTCTAAAGAGAAAGTAGGGTAGATGAGATTGAAAAGTTGTACCAGTGGGGTGTTGAGATCTCTAGAAGTCAAAGAAAGCAATTTAGCCGTTTCCCACATGGAATATATAATGTCTAGACAATCAGTCTGGATTTTTGGTGTAATTTTGCTTGGAAACTATGACACATAATTTATTTGCTTCTATAACTCATGTACAGGTATTTGCTCCATGCTAAATCTTAATTACCTTGAATAACTTTGTTTCATTCAGTAGTGTTTCCCCTGTTCATTTTTATGACATATGAAATAGTTTTACCCTTGACCTCCCTCCCCAGAATATATATATAGAGAGAGGTGTGTGTGTGTATTTTCTTGGGTATACTTCCTTTCAACCAATTTTACAACTCAGGTCAGCAGTCAACACACTATTATTCTTCACATTTTTGTCACTGGAATTAAATTGTCCAGTCTCTTCTAAATGTTGTAAAGCTAGAAATAATACAACCCTGGGGAAATCATGAACCTGCTTTCCTTATGAATATTAAAGCATGGTCTGTTGCTGCCTTTTTAAAAAATTGCATTAATGTAGGAAGCATTTTTTGTAAAGTGAAAAAAAAAGTTGGTACATAAATTGTAGCTTAATTAAAGTGTGGTCTACTATGGTGACTTCATTTAATAGCATTCAAGAGCAGAGAAAGAGCATGCCAAGAGCTATTAAATCTATCAGACAGTTCATTAGTGTATGCAATTGACCAGCTTCTGTTTTTTCTCTAAAGCCTCTGAACACAACTAATTGGCTTAGCTGCTTGGTTTATATCGCAGAAGAGCATTTGCTGCTTTACTTATCTTTCTGCTCACAACATAATTGATGTGTCCCCTGTGCCCATCCAAATAAGTACAGAGGATAAATGAGGCCATCTACATCAAGGGAATAATTAATTCCTAATGTTTAAGGCTGAGAGCTCTAATTTGATCCAAGAAAGCAAAAAGTGTGTTTCAAGGAGAGAAGTATTATTCCAGAACTGGTGGGCCCATGAGAGAAAACACTAGGTTGCTTCGTTAAGATAATAAACATAATGGAATTACAATGTTATCCAAACAATGATTAAATGTGGTGTACAAGGCCAGTGGTTCCCAAAATATCTTAATCGGCTAACAAAACACAGCACTTGCAACTTCATTCCTTTTAAAGTGGACACAAAAGACTCTTACCAAACACTCTGCTTGTTCTTCAAGAGGCTCTGTACACCACAGCTAAACAAAATACTTGAAATCCACAACCCCATACATTGATTCTTAGAAGTAAGCAACACTGAGTTCAGTAGAACGTAGTCACAGCTAAGCAAGTATAGAACTGCAGCTTAATACTTTTAAGATTTAAGAAGTAGTAGTGGATTGCTGGAAGCTCCAAGGCAGAGGTGAGGCACCTGTGGCCCTCCATATATTGTTAAACTACAATCCCCATCAGCAGCAGTCAGCGTGACCTAGTCAGGGATGATAGGAGTTGTAGTCCAGAGATATCCCTGCCATAAGGTTATCTCCCTCTTGGACTACTGCAATGCACTTATCCATGAAAATAAGACTGATACTATTACACTGGCCGTAGCAAAATTTCTCTTGGAGGGCTAAAGTTCCTCTGTTGGCCAGTAATGCTGCCCCTACAGCTTAATAACTGCTGATATATACCATCGCTGTACTGTTTATTTTGGGTCTATGGACTGCAATGAAGCCTATGTGTATGTGAATATAGATTGTCTCAGTTTCTGTGTTTATACACCCATGAAGGTGATGGATGGTTGGCGAAGGACCCCGTGTGAGAGGTAGGAAAGTGAAGATCTTCCAGGGTGGGAAACGGGGGGAAGAATGGGAAGCTCCCAGATGAGAGCTGGGAGGGTCCACCTCTTTCTGTGTGAGACAAGGATCAAGATCTACCTTAAAGTGATGACTCTGTACTTTCTTGTCTCTTTCTGTTTTTGTTTAGATTTTTAAAATTGTATTATATTATGAAAAGCCTTAATAAAATTTTATGGGGGGGAAGGATTGTGTTTGCCTGTTTTCATGGTGAGGAAGTGGTGTATGAATGGAAAATACATGCATACCTCATAGGTTGTTGCTGTGATTGTGGTGTCCCATTTTGGGTGTTGTCATGATGAGAATTGCAAGTAGAAAGGTAATTCCAGTTCAGATAGGTGTGAGCATGATTACATCTGCAGCTGGGAAACTTGGCTTGTATGAGCCATCCCTATAATTGCAGGCAAGCATTTGGACCACAATATAAAGTCTATGTATGAACGGTAGTCAAATGCATAGAATGGGGGTACCTGTGCTACAATTTAAAAAGTCACAAAAGTCACAGTACTGTCTGATTAAACTGTGCTACTTAAGGTTGTGTGTCTGATTGCCGCCCCATGCTCCAAATAGCCTTCATGTGAACAACTAGCATGTCAGGGAGGATTACAAGCCAGCCTTCTACTTCTAATTTTCTACACACACACACACACACACACACACACTGCATCATTTAAGCATGATTTACTTTAAATTACAAACAACCACACCCATAAATCAGTAAAGAAACTATCAAAGCAGAGCGAATGAAACACAGCATAAAAGGCTGAAAAACAGTCAACTTCAATGCTTCAGCAAATATTCATTGGCGGATTCATCACCTGATATGCTTGTGACAAACAGCTCACCATTCATGCAGATAGTGTAATCTTCCATCTATAGTATGCTGTGGTATGGTCTTTTGGAGCTCTGTGCCATGCAACCAATTGAAATTGGCATGACGGCTAGCCATTGCTTTGACTATGCTGCATTTCTTTCTCACTGCAGAATGATTACCTACGAATGTTGTCCAGGATATGAAGAAGTTCCAGGGGAAAAAGGCTGTCCAGCTGGTAAATCAATTGAAGTACAAACTAATACCTTGTGCAAATTTGGGATGGTGTGGGAGCGTCAGTGCATACATTGATTCAGCCAGTGAGCCTCACAGGTAGCTTTCAGTGAGGAGGAGACGCCTAGTATAGTTTCCAGAAATTATGATGGGAGTAGCAGCAGGTCATTTAATCCCCAGGCTGCTTTACTCATTACATTTTGGGAGTGCAGAATGCAGTCAGTAACCAACAAGGCAAATTCAGTGTTAGTCATATGCAGACGAGACCCATTGAAATTAAGGCACTTAAGTTACTTAGGACTGTTGATATAAATGGGTCAACTAATATTGGATATCACTCTAGATGTAGTTCACTGATTAATGAATATGTGGTGAGCTACTACTCTTCTGGGCCCAAATTATATCTTGTCAACATCTTAAAATGAGCATGGTGCAGGCAAGTTCCTAATATTCAACCCAAACCTTCCTTGTCCCCATCATTCCTGTCACCACTGGGGTTGCTGTTGATGTCTGCATGCAACCTATTCCTTCCATAGACAAGCAGTCTTGGCAATTCTGCACATGTTTCTTTCCCTCCCCCCTAGAGTTCCAAGATCCATTATTCTCCATTTATTAGTGACTATTACTCATGATGGCTATCTGGAATGTAGGGTGGCATGATGACTACCTGAAATCAAGGGTATCGTGCCTCTGAACATGAGTTACTTGGGGAAAGCAAGAGGGGTGTTGCATTCTGTCCCTGCTTATGGGCTTGCAAGAAGCAGCTGGTTGACCACTATTAAGTTATTTTGAAAATTATATACCTCCCTTCATTTACAACATAAAACATAATGCACAATATATGTCAGTACATAATATAAAACATTAAAAACAGCCAAATAAATACAGTTCATAATAAGAAGCAATATCATAGTACCTAATATAGAACAGACATCATGGATACATATTAAGCAGCAATATCAAATTAGACACAATATCTTACTTCGCTGAATCTTTATACAAGTATAGGCCATCATAAAACATCTACCCTATTTTTTGCTCTATAAGACTCACTTTTTCCTTCCTAAAAAGTAAGGGGAAATGTGTGTGCGTCTTATGGAGCGAATGCAGGCTGCGCAGCTATCCCAGAAGCCAGAACAGCAAGAGGGATTGCTGCTTTCACTGCACAGCGATCCCTCTTGCTGTTCTGGCTTCTGAGATTCAGAATATTTTTTTTTCTTGTTTTCCTCCTCCAAAAACTAGGTGCGTCTTGTGGTCTGGTGCGTCTTATAGAGCGAAAAATACGGTATATATAAAAATTAAAAATGTATACAAATACACAGCCATGTGAAATATGTAGTAGCTAGGATTTTCATGCTCTGCATCTTCCTTCCCATCCCAAAACACCTTCAGGGTGGGTAGAGTCCAGTTTGTCTACCTCTGCAGCAGTAGCTGTTAATAAACAATGTCCTATGCACCAAGTTGCTAGTAAATTAGCATTAAAAGTTAAGCAATCTTAGAGGGTAGCCTCAGTTATAAGGGGCAGGGAGTATGAGGTTTGAACTTCACCTCCCTTTTCTTTTCTTTATAACCTGGCTGCAAGCAAGTCTGTCATTGCTGCTAATATGTTTCCTTGTCACTGCCCACAGAGAGCCCAGCTTTATCCTTTATTAGGAATAAAATGCTGGACCAGGTGGAGCCCTGGTTTGATGCAGCAAGGCAGTTGCTAAGTTCACTGTATTCTGCACAAACATATCTATTGTTATCTCAGTTACCTCCTCCAGCTCCCATGCCTTCTGTCATGTCTGAAACATGCTGCACATTACTTTCTAGTACAGTGGTACCTCTGGATATGAACGGGATCTGTTCCAGAGCCCCGTTCACATCCTGAAGCGAACGCAGCCCGCGTCTGCGGGTCATGATTCGCTGCTTCCGCGCATGCGCGAGACATCATTTTGAGCGTTTGCTCATGCGTGAGCTGTGAAACCCGAAAGTAACGCGTTCTGTTACTTCCGGGTCGCCGCAGAGCGTAACCTGAAAACGCTCAACCTGAAGCATATTTAACCTGAGGTATGTCTACATGTAACGGTAACAGGACAGCCCTTTTTTCTTTTTTGCCAAGGAGGGTGTGACTTGCAGCTGAGAAACAGCAGGAGAGGATAAGGGTGCTTAACCCTTTATCCACACATAGACTGCCGGCTGCAAATTGTCCCTCCTAGTGACTTCCCTGCCACCAAATTGTTTCAAACATGCATTTTCTAGGGCAGATGCGAACATGCCCTTGAAAATGCATTGGTTACAAAGGGTGCTTAGGAGAGCAATTTCACATAGGAAGATAGTAGGTGGAGAAAGGGTGAAGTTCGCTTTCCCCCTGCTATTTCTCCACTCGCAAAGCAGCTTTTTCAGTTTTAATAAATGGGTCATTGGGCAATTCTTACAAGCATTTCCATGTAATATGCATTTTTATGGCGAAGTAGTAAATGTTAGGGACGCGGGTGGCACTGTGGGTAAAATCTCAGCGCCTAGGACTTGTCAATCGAAAGGTCGGCGGTTCGAATCCCCGCGGCGGGGTGCGCTCCCATTGCTTGCTCCCAGCGCCTGCCAACCTAGCAGTTCGAAAGCACCCCCGGGTGCAGGTAGATAAATAGGAACCGCTTACCAGCGGGAAGGTAAACGGCGTTTCTGTGTGCTGCGCTGGCTCGCCAGATGCAGCTTGTCATGCTGGCCACGTGACCCGGAAGTGTCTCTGGACAGCGCTGGTTCCCGGCTTATAGAGTGAGATGAGCGCACAACCCTAGAGTCTGGCAAGACTGGCCCGTACGGGCAGGGGTACCTTTACCTTTACCTTTAGTAAATGTTATGATTATGCTATTGCCTTGTCAAAGTGAAATGTCATCTGTATTATTATTTTTAAACAGCTTTGCCTCTTTCCAACCTGTACGAAACACTTGGAACTGTTGGGGCCTCAACCACACAGCTCTACTCTGCCAGCTCTAACCTGAGTGCTGAAATCACAGGCCCTGGAAGCTACACAATCTTTGCCCCAACCAATGAAGCCTGGGCATCCTTGCCTGCCGTAAGAATAAGTGCCACTTCAGTTTCCAAAACTTGAATGTGTTGAGGAAATCATGAAAAATAGAGGTGGTCTATCCACAAAGTGGGTAGGACACAGTAAGAAGATTGGAATCATTATTTTAAATGAAGGAATAAGAATATTCAGACACCATAATTAAACATAGTTATACGTATATTCACATTTAAATATTGTTATATATTATTTCATTGTTACCCTTTCTGATATGTTGTTTTGTTGTTCCGTAAACCACCGTGATATTTCTTTGAAATGAAAGGCAATATACAAATTATTTAAATAAAGGAACTATTGGGATCACACTTCCGGAGCTCAAGTCCTGCTTCTCATAGGCATCCGGTTGGACACTGTGAAAGCAGGATGTTGCTCCACATGGGATGGGCCTTTGGCCAAATCCAGTGGGGCTCCTAGTTGCATGTCAAGACCTCAAGGCCTCACCCTTATGTTGAATAAGAACACCTGGACACAGTATTTTGGGTTAATGGGCAGATAAAGGCCACAGCTTTATTGGTTACAGAATGTGAGTGGTATTGGCTTAGACACTGGAATTGAACCGACTATATCTGACTCCTGCCCGCCATGCAGGTAATCCAGTAAGGGTCAACCACCAATGTTGATGTACATCAACTAAGAACTCCCCCAGGGTCCACAATGGGGTCATGGCATGGCCCTAGCCCCTACACGGGCTTCAGACAAGATCCACACCCCTGGATCCTTTTAACGGAACACCCTTAAAAATGGAGGGGCGGGTGATGGCCACACCTCCCCTCCCCCAAACCAGGTTTTGCCTAACCGCCAAGCCTTACAAAAGTTGTGATGATTGCTATGAGGTAGGTGAAAACAGGAAGATCCCTGGCCGTACGGCTGCTTAAATTAGCCAAGTCACGCCCACTCACCCACCCTGCCAGCCGGATTGGCTGGCTAGGGCTGGGACGTGGCTAGAGACTCCCCAATGACCCGGGAGCTTGGCTCTGCCCCCGCTGTTTGCAGGAGGGGCTGCCCGCAACACTGTCCCACCAGTGGAGCAGCTTTCTAATCTTAGTTGCTCAAGCTCCCATTCTGTGTTCTTTAACCCTTGCAACTTCCAAGAGCACTCCTGCTTATCTTTTATCCTGTTTCTTTTCCTGTGCCTCCCATAGCTATTCATAAGAGGGATGATTAGATGAAATTACTTCTCTTAAAGCAGAAAATACAAAAGGCTGCCAGTAGCTGAAAGCAAGATCTAGAACAACCTTTCTCAACCTTGGGTCCCCAGATGTTGCTGGAATACAGTTCCTATCATCCCTAGTTAGCAGGACCCCAGTGGTCAAGGATGTTGAGAATTGTAGTTAACAGCATTTGGGGACCCAAGGTTGAGAAAAGGCATTGTATAATTTTATTCACAGTGGGCTCAGTTCATTGGATGGGAGCTGTGTAGTGCAAGTAGCACAACTGCTAGCTTGAGGGTGCATTCCCCTTTCACCTGGGGAGCTGTACACAAGAAGCTGCAGTCAAGGAATCTTCCCAGCAATTGTATGTTGTTCCACTGACAGAGTTGTTAGCCCTCACAGTAGGGTGGGGCAGTTGCAGTCCAAGCATATTTCCTTCCTGCTTGGGAGGTAGAAGCAGGTAGAAATAGTCAGGTACTATTAGTCAAGCATTGACATCTATGGCTTTGTGAGAATAAGCTCAGTGGAACTGAGTATTTGGTCTCATTTGCTTTTTCTCAGGAAATGTTGGATTCTTTGGTGAGCAATGTTAACATTGAGCTATTAAATGCTCTTCGCTACCATATGGTGAATAAACGAGTTCTTACGGATGATCTGAAACATGGAACAACTCTCCCTTCAATGTACCAGAATATTGATGTACAGATCCATCATTATCCAAATGGAGTGAGTATTTGGTAAAACTGCAAGGAAAACTGAAACTACAAGGGCAATTGATATGTACCAAATATTCTTTAAAGAGCTCAGGATATTATTTTGCTTCTATTTTAGATGGCCAACTTAATTGTTCTGCCAGATGTATTAATATGAACTGGCTTTCCCCAATATAAGGGGTGGGTGATGTAACCGAAGGCTTGGGGCCAGCCACCATTTTGGCCTCATGTCCGGGAAATCAGTTGACACTTTTAAAAATACGAATAAATGAGTAACTTATTTATTGACTTATTCAAAGGATGAAACTTACTTTCAAACCACTAGGATCCTTCAAGGTGGCTCTCACAGATGCATACAGACAACCTTTAGAATTCTCCCTGTCCCTCTTAAGTACACATAGACTTAATGATAAAGAAAATGATACGTGGAATTCTTTAAACCAGCTATTGACATATTATTACACTGACATAATATAATATGTTAATCATATATTAGCTTTAGTTTTTTATTTGTCTGGTTCCTGTGTTCCCCAGATCGTGACAGTGAACTGTGCTAGGTTGTTGGAGGCTGACCATCACGCCACCAACGGAGTGGTCCACCTGATAGATAAAGTCATTTCCACAACAACAAACAGCATCCTTCAAGTTGTTGAGCTTGAAGAGAATCTTGAAACCCTAAGAGTAAGTCCATTTCAAATATATATCCCAATATTTCCTTTGATGCCCATTTAGGGCGAAATCACTTTCTTGAAAACCTATTAACTTGTATCCCTACTGGATTCCTTCCTTTCTAACATGCCTAATTCCGTTTCTTTTGTATTTATTCAAAGACTGCTGTGGCAGCTGCTGGTCTCGACAGTCTTTTGGAAAGTGAAGGCCAGTTTACATTGCTGGCTCCAACCAATGAAGCTTTTAAGAAGATCCCACCAGAAACCCTAACCAGGATCCTAGGAGACCCAGAAGCTCTGAAAGGTAAACAGCTGTGAAAATGTCTATTGTACATAGATATAATTTGTAAACCACTTTGACTGTTTTTCTACAGTCAAGTGGTATACAGTGGACCCTCTGGATACAAACTTAATTCGTTACGGGGATCCGTACATACCCCAAAAAGTCCACATCTAGAGGTGCTGCTTCTGTGCATGTGAGTGGTGCTATAGAGCGTTTCTGCACATGTGTGTGCGGCGAAACCCGGAAGTATACACTTCAGGGTTTGCCGCGTTCGCAACCCAAAGGTTACGTTACCCGAAGGTATAACTGGATAAATTTTATAAAATTATTTTTTAGAAAAATCCTGAGTAGAAGGGCACTGGAGGTAGGGGAACGTCTTAGACTATGTGTTTTGCCAGAAGTCTCCAGCTAGTATATGTGGTCTAATGTTAGTAATGAATCTGGGTCAGATGTATTTCTGGAACTTTGCTATACTTCTTATTGGTGTGTAATTCACTGATGATTTTATAACTTTGCCATATCTTGAAAGGCAAAGTTAAATGTTAATTTTTCAGGGGTACGGGGTGGGGAGAAACTTATATTTCTGTAATGGTTCGAAGTGACATACCGCTGACCTCAAATCTTTTCTCTCTCTGATTTCTCTCCTTAAAGTTAGTAGCAGATGGACATTGTGGTGACCTTGACAGCTGCATTGCTGCTGCTTACTGGGAAGGAGAAGGGGAGGGACAAGGTGGTGAAGTCCAATTGGTGCATGTGTACCAGCAGGAGCACCAGATAGGCTCTGCTGGTGCGCTTGCACTGTGCCAACCTCCCCACCATCTCCCCCTCTCCTTCCCAGTAAGCAGCAGCGACTCAGGAGGTCAAGTGAGCAACACTACTCGGCTTTTAAGGACAGCTGACAGAAAGGTCCTCTAAAGAGAAGGCCGGTTTCAATCCCCATAGCCCAGTGCTCTGGCCTTTCTCTGCTCATTCTCCACCCTCTGGTTTTAAGGCAGAAATGTAGAGAGAAAGCCATGGAAAAAAGAAGAAGCTGTATTTGTACTGAGTCAGAAGCCAGAAGGCAGACAGGGAGCTCAGATGAATGGAGAATTAGATAAGGAATAACAAGCTCATCAGCACTTTCCATGGGGAACTAGATGAGCAATAGCAAGTTGGTCAGCACTTTGAGCGATGTGCTAGATGAGCATTAGCCTGGTTCTACGTAGCAATAGCAAGCTGCTTTTAAAAACACCAAACCAGACTCAAGGCTACCCACTCGCCTCCTAAGCAGGAAACTGAAGCACAAATAAACCAGGTCTTTGTTCCTTGAAATGGAGAACAATGCTCAACACTGGCAGGTCTTGATCAAATGTGGTGGGGGAAAGAAAATTTTGGAAATTTATTTATTAAATCACTCTAGCCGCCCCATAACAATTCTCTGGGCATCTCACACAATGAAATCAAACAGTTTTATATTCAGCATAAAGCAGCAAAAGTCACAATGAACTAATTTTGAAAAACCATTACACAATTTAAAAATCAAAACCATACCTCCATTAAAAAGTGTGCATCTGCTTTTGCAGATGAGTGTCCCAAACTTATTTCTTGGCAAAGTGGAAATGTTTTTGGAAACCATCAGGGAAACTTTGTACATATCTCAAGAGTACAAATTCTCTGGCTAATTTAGGACATTACAATGATGCTAATTGGCTTCAAAGCTGTACCATTTACTTCCCTTGTCTCCAGCTTCTTGCAATTAGTGTGCATATGTACATACAACATGCATTTTGTTCTTTTGTGGGGGGCATGATCAGATTAAACGTGATACCTTGTTGTTTGGTTAAATTTTCATTCCATAGCCTACGACACACTGATAGCAATTTTCAAACCCCTATATCTTTCCTTTTTAAATTTTTTAAAGAGATTTTCCCTCTTTTCAAATCTGCTTGGTATATTTTGTTTCCACGTAGACCTGCTGAGCAACCACATCTTGAAAACAGCCATGTGTGCAGAAGCCATTATTGCTGGTTTATCAATGGAAACACTGCAGGGGAACATGCTGGACGTAGGCTGCAATGGCGACGAACTGACTCTTAATGGAAGGCCCATCATTGCTAACAAGGATGTCATCGCGACCAATGGCGTGATACACTTTGTCAACGAATTACTCATCCCAGACTCTGGTAAACCTTTTTCTCATTATGATTTTGTCTCAGACAAGATGTGCTTGGTGAGCTTGCCAGTGTGAACAGTGCAGCTTAACCGCCAGGGCTGCTGTTTAGGGATGACCCCCCCCCCCCAGGGCCTCAGCTCCAGGTCCTGTGTGTTCGGGGTTGGACATCCTGCCCATTTTTGTAGGTTTTTTCTTTCCTTATAGCTTGGCTGAGCACACTGCAGAGCAAAGTGCAGATGAGACACCAGCCAACTTGCCCAGAAGCATCTCTTCATATAAATTATACCCATTTTAAGTACCTTTTAATTATACCTTTTAAGCAACACCCCTGCTCATTGCCATCAATTGTATTCTTTTATTCGAATATATGGAGAATGCACTACAACAACCTGACCCATTTGTGACTGGCCTAATTCCATGTCAGTTCAGCTGATGTTCCATCTGAGTCACTTGTCTTCCATAGTGTAGCTTTCCCACTTCTAAAATGAGGTTATATATGAATGTATTTCACAGAGAGAAAAATATTAAAAATAAGCTTAATGTCAACAAAATTAAGAATCAAAATGCCAAATCTTTCTGGGTTTGTTTTTTTGATAGAGGAAGCACAGCATGAGCGTTGAAATGGAGATGTAAAATGAACCATAAAGTCTCATTTTTAAAAAACACATAATGAATCTGGCATAGAATACACATATTTTTGTTGCATATTTTAATTTAATTTAAAGCTCTGGTCCATGGGTAGGCAAACAAAGGCCCTGGGGCCTGATCCGGCCCAATCAGCGTGTTTTTACATGAGTAGAACGTATGCTTTTATTTAAAATGCATCTCTGGGTTATTTGTGGGGCATAGAAATTCATTCATTTTTTTCTTCAAAATATAGTCTGGCCCCCCACAAGGTCTGAGGGACAGTGGACCGGCCCCCTGCTGAAAAAGTTTGCTGACCCCTGCTCTGGTCATTCATCAGTTACCCTTTCTGTAATAAATAATAATGTTGAGACTCATGTTAACACCTTTTCTTTTTAAATTGCAGCTAAAACTTTGTTGGAGCTCGGGCAGGATTCCGACGTTTCAAAGGCTATGGACCTTTTTAGACGAGCTGGCCTCAGTTCGCATCTCACTGGAAATGAGCGGCTGACAGTTCTTGCCCCCATCAATTCTTTCTTCACAGGTAAACATCTGCACTCTAATCTGCTTAGTGGCAGAACCAGAAGCGTCAATCAACTCAGGACAGAATCCATACTCTGGTGGGCACTGCTGGTTGTGTGTGACAGCCATGACTGGAAACGAGGAGAGATTATAATCCCCTCTGCATGCATGAGCTGTCCCTAAAGCTTCATTTTATTGTTGAAAGTCAATTTGAGCTTGTAAGGTTGCAAATTAAGGTTACATCTTTTTCTTTTTTTTGGTGTTATTCTGGTTCTAATGCTGTAAAAGGTAATGTAAAATGCAGCCGCTTTAATGCATGCAGGATATGCCCATCAAACACGGGACCAGCCAGCCCGGGTTACAGTGTGATATTGGCACTGTAAAGGCATGCTGCTTCCCCAAAGATCATCTTCATTTGCGCTGACTAGTTTCTGGGGAACTCACAATTCTGCCTGATCAAAAGAATCCACATTCATCTGAATGTATTCATATCAGTGGAATAATTCACATTGTTTCTAAGGGTCACCTATTAATTCATGCATAGTATAGGGGTACCTGGTTTTGATTGGATGAACCTTACAGTGTGTGTGAAACCACTCTGAAATGATAAATATGGGGGATGGGAATCCTGCCTTTTGTCTTGTCAACATAACACCCAGTTCTTGTCACAGCAGCTCATTGTGTGTTTTGGCTTTGGGGAATGAATGGGCAGTGTTCAGCAGAGGTGGGGAAACCAAGGCTCTCCCAGTTTCATTGGATTACATCTCCTGTCATCTCTGACCATTTGTTATGCTCGCTGGGGCTGATGGGAGTCCAGCAATGTATGGAAGGACACCGGTTCCTCACTACAGATTTACACAGTGGTACCAGTTGCTCTGACAGTAACTCTCTACTTAGATGTTACCTTTAGATCCTGTTTTTCCTCTCAAGAACTCTGAGGCTGTCATGTGGACCTCAGGCTACCTCTCGCCCAAGGCGATTAAAAAAATGAGCTTGATCAACATTTGCTAGAACTTTATGACAAAGTGGTGCCAAATTTATGCTTCAGTAACATTGTTAAGTATTTGAAGTGCCGCAGAATTCTGTGTTGCTTTTGTTACAGAAGCTAAATGGCTATCTCTTTGGAATTGAAATACATTGGCACTAACATGGAGGGAGAAAGAGGCAATGGAGTGTGCTTGGTCCTCACACTGTGGAACCATGAGCTACAAAGGAAACTGTGCATGCTGCTCTGAAATATTGAAAGTGTTGACTCGAGCAGCATTTTCTCTTTTATAATAATAAGCACTTTTATTATTTTTAGTTTCAGGAACTATCAGAGTGGTGCACAAGGATGGCACTGGTGTGAATCACAATTGTTCCCTCATCAAGTTTTCTGTGTAGCCACGTGGGTTGCAGATGCAAATTTTGTTTTTGCAGACACTGACTACATTTTAAAAGAAAGCAGTTGCCGGCCCTTTCTTTGCGGTGGGGGAGGGGGTCGCGTAGGGGACTCACTTTGAAACTTGCATTTTGCAACAAAATTCTACACAACAGCATGCTTTAGATGCCTTGTTATAAAACTATGACTCTTGGCTTTCCTTTGTTCTGCAGATCAGACTCCTACACCAGGCAGGAACGTGCTCCGGGATCACATTATTAAAGAGCAGCTTTCCTCTAAATACCTTTTCCATGGACAGAAACTAGAAACTCTGAGTGGCAAGCAGCTGAGAGTATTTGTGTACCGCAATGTATGTTTGCCATTTAATTACTCCTCCCAGTTTGAGTTTTTACTTTTAAAACAGGGTTTGTTGCTCTGGGCTCCTTTGGGAGGAAGGGTAGGGAAATAGTAGTAGTAGTAACAATCAGTTCAAATAAAATCCTTTCTCCAGGTACTCATACATAGCAGTTTAACTGGGGTTATTTCATTTCTGTCCTCGCAGCAATCCTGTGTTTGACCTAAGATTATTCAGTGGGTTTCACAGTCGAACAAGGCCTGGTGTTTCTGTATAGATGAACAAGCTGGTTCCTTCGTTTTCTGCATTGGAAAGTTCTTTTCACACAACACTGAATTGATTCCACTCTAGTGTTACACTGAGCTGATTTGTGTGAATGCTCTGCCTTTTAAATCACTTGATCAGCATGCAGTCGAGAGACTGTTAGCCTTGGGGGAAAGTCCGATTTACTAGTCAGTTGGTGTTCAAGTACTTCTAGGCCTCATGCCACAGACCAAGTAGTGCAGGGTCTCTAGTGTGGAAACTTAAATCATTTTAAACTTCTGCGATGCTTTTAATTAAAACCCAATCCATCCTGTAGACTCTCTGCATCGAAAATGCCTGCATTGCTGCCCACGACAAAAGAGGAAGATTTGGAACCTTGTTCAGTATGGAAAAGTTGGTGACTCCCCCTCTTGGCACCGTTATGGATGTGCTCAAAGCGGATGATCGTTTCAGGTGACATTTTTAGTTTGTATTGTTAGCTTGAGAACAGTGACGTGGGAGAAGTGGTTTTGCTTTAGTGAGAACTTGAGGCTGATTATACTTCTGCATATTTAATCACATTTTGAATTTTAAAATCAATTATCTGATTTAAACCTTTTATATATATATAAAAAAAAGTATGGAAGACAGACATAGGAAACTGTCCTATACAGATTCAGACCATTAGTCCATCTAGGTCAATATTGTATATACACTGTATATTGTATTGTATTGTATATACACTGACTGGCAGAAGTTCTCTGGTTTTTCAGACAGGAGTCTTTCCTGGACCTGCCTAGTGATATTGGGGATTGATGCATGCAAAGCAGGTGCTATGCCACTGAGATATCGTGTTTAACAGCATGGATTTTGACTCACAAATAAATAAATTGACACCATTATTATAATATTAAGGACATGATTTTTAAATTATTTTTATTTATAAAAATACTTACACCTATTCATTAAAAAAAACAGAGCCGTTTACCACAATTAAACTGAAAACCATACAATAAAAACCATGTAAATATTTAAAATTGGAAATCAGCTATTGCAAAAGGATATTTTATTAATGACCAGCATAAATGTGGCAACATAGAAAAGTTTCTGGCTGGTGTTTAAAGGTTAAAACAAAAGGCACCTGTTGTACCTCCTCTGGGTTTTATTATGTTTTTTAAAAAAATAAATAAATCAAAAGTCCTGATGGGCACACATAGTTGTGTAGTTATCTGTCTGTTACTGGGAAATTCTACTAGTGTCTCTCCAGTTCAAGCCTAATTCATACATTGGCAAAGCATTTAAAATGAATTTGAGGCTCTTGCTTGAAAGCTTTTCTCAATGGCATTGTAGACCTAACTTTTATTTGAGTATTTAATCAAAATACATTTTTATCATTTTTGTTCTAAATGATTACAGAGGATGGAGGCAAGGAGGGACAGACCTGGTGGGGACCAAGGATCTACTAGATCCTAAGCAGCTTTAGTGAGCTGCAGATTGTGGCAGGAACTCCAGTTCAAGCCCATTTGCTGCATCTACCCTGGTTCCGCCTCTCCTTTAAGGCTCAGTGCTACTCAGCCAGGGTTAGGATTGCCCACAAGTAATTCAACACAGACCAATGCTGCAATTTAATTGGATCCTAACTTCATTATAATTCTTTCCGTGTTAGGTGTTTGCACTTTATCTTTTCCTCTTTAATAATAAATGCAGCAGGCCAGTAGGGCAGTATTAATTCCCTTTTGCAGATAAAGAGCTCATGATTAAAGACAGCAGTGGTCAAGGTTTCTAAGCTGATTGAACTGCGTCACCTGAATGCAAATAGCACCCAGTCAAGCCACTGGGAGGCTTTTCCTCTAATACTGCAGTGAGGAACTTTTTGCAAAGTAGCCAGATGCAAAAGTGGGAAGTGCGATGGTGCGATGCTCACCTTGGTGCAGTAGGTTATATTCCAGAAATGCGAAAGTCAGAGGTTTCAGCAAACCGCACACATTCCTTTGTCCTCCTTCCAGGCAAGCAAGAAGTATTATCAGAGTTCAAGAACATATTCCGGCCAAAGAAAAGAACTCAGGAGGGTGTGGCCTGTGGCAGGGCCAAAGAGAGGCGCCTGGAAAGCCATCTTTGGCTCCTGGGCCTGAGCGCCTCACCCTGCACTGCCGCTCTAATGGGACATGTGACCTGCCAACACAAAGGTCCAGCCAGTTCCCTTTGGGAAGTCTTTGTTTAAGAGCTCCTTGCTCCTCCCCAATAATATATTGCAGGCACATCAGGGTTCCCTAAACACAGCAATTCCTTCTGGCGAAAGGAACCAAGAAGCCCACTAGCTCGGGAGTTCTATGTACACGTTGGGACATATGTGGAGCTCTATGCTGGACCTCTTTGTTATTTCAGCCGTGACATTTTTAAACTGCTCTTTGAAAATGCTTAAGCGTTAAATGCATATTTTCTCTGTGTGTTTCCGACAGCACTCTAGTGGCTGCCATCCAGTCTGCAGGCCTCACAGAAACGCTGAACAGGCCAAGGTCCTTCACAGTCTTCGCACCAACAAACGAAGCCTTCCGAGCCATGCCACAAGGGGCGCTGAACAAACTTATGGGTAAATGTCCATAGATCTGGTTGGCTGTGGTGTGAGATACTGAGATTATTTACACTGATTTCCTTGGATAAGTGAGCTTTCCAGCATTCTGTGCTATTAGTCTCATATTCAGCTTCTCTTTTGTTTGCTTGTCCATGGGTTGGAGACAATAGGTTACAAAAGTGGTGGCTCTGGTTTTCACTGATGTCACGAGGAATGATTTGTCCATGGGGTGACAGTGACTTACTGTCTACACCCATGGTGAGACAGTTCAGGCCCTTCAAACTTTGTGTGGGTGGGTGGGTGCACTAGATCCCAACAATTTATCACAATGAAAAGAAATATTTTGCAGAGTTGCCACCCACTGTGCTGAACTTCCCTCCCCTGCTCATCAGACTGCTGTTATGAGGGGGGGGATGTCCTGTTTTTCTATATGCTAGCATGTGTGATTGCAAGTTCAGTTGTGTGAGAGAGAGAAAGAGCTAGTCTCTGTTCTCTCTATGTGTATGATTATGTGAAAGAACGAGTCTGTGAGAGAGAGGCAATGATAGTCTATCTGCCAGTCTCTCTGTCATGTGTGCAGTTGTCTGTGTGTGGGGAAAAGACATAGACAGTCCAGACATCCCTTATGCTCAGTCATTGAAATTTCCTAGTACTTTTATGGAATATTGCAGGGGTAATGAAGGAGTAGAAAAAAGGCAAAGAAAGAAGAGTATCAGTCAAGATTCAGGGTTGATAAGATGGACAAGCAGTAGTAGTGGTGTGGGCTGTGGTGCATGGGTATTTATATGCTACACTCTCTGTTAACAAACAACTAAAAAGAGGTTAACAACCAACATCTAAAAAACTACTACTAATATGTTCCTCAAGCGAGAGAGGGAAACCACGCCTGGGGTACTGAAGGACCTAAGTAAGAAAAATGTCATGTGTATGTCTAAAAGAGTTGCCATGAATCATAGCAGGGAAGATGGAAATCACAGATGGCCATTAATAAATGTTGATGAATGTTAGCTGGGCTGGTAAGGACAGGGGTGAGATTTTCATAGGCCCCAGGCCCAGTGGGGGAAAAAAAGCTTCAGCTTGGAAGCCCTATAAGGAAAGGGTATGTGAACTTGTTCAATTATCTTTCATGTAAATATTGAAACATTCTCTTGCCTGATGTGGCTTAGAAAAGAATATGAGCTGTTCTAGTGCAATGACTTTTCTCAGTTCATGCCCATCCCATTTGTGACATCATAATGCAACATCTGCTGATGGGAGCTGGTTATCCTTTTAAGTTCGCAGAGCAGCAGTCTACACATTTGCTCTATTGCTTAACGCACAAATAGTTCATAACTGATTTGTAGCTACCGTAAGTAGCCGTGGAACTGAAACATCCCAGATGTGAACAGCCAAAATGTTCTGAGGCTTTGTAAGCAAAATATTTAGCTTACTCCTCTGAAAGCAATGAATCACCATTGATGGGAATATATAGCAAAGAGCAATGGCAAGAGGAAAAGGGAAGAAGAGCTGTAATTTCTTGTTTGATCAGCTTTATCTCTTGGATGTGTTACTCGTAGCTGCAGCTGGATTTGGGACAATATACAACCTACTTCTATATTTGCTCCAAACAATTCAGTAGCAGGGGGTTGTAGTCCAGCCCCCTGCTACTGAATTGTTTGGAGCAAATATAGAAGTAGGTTGTATATGACTCTTGTGGTCTTTTCCAACTCTATGATTCTATGATGGCAGTATATATTATATAGATGGTATAATGTCTGACTGCATATCATTTCTGCATCTCAGAAATTTTCAGTTTCACTCTGGAGCTGAGAAAACCTGGATGATCTTTCCAGAGTTAAGGCTCACACACAAAATCCTGAAATTCATTACCTTCAGTGTTATGCCTTTGCACATGCTTTGCAAAGTACGTATAGAAAAGTACTGAATTCAATACCAAACCAGTCCATAGATGCATGAGATATGAGAGTGAATTTTCAGCAATATAATTGCAATGCTTCCTTTGAAATTCCGGTACTGTCTTTTAAATGAGGAACTGCTGATTACTTTCTAGCCTAAAACTTTGCCAGAAAGTGTACATATTTATCTCATCCAAGCTGTGATTCCAAGTTCACTGAAGACCAACTGAAACACGAAATCCGTTTTTCATAGTGAGGCCTTGAACCTTTCTTGAATGGATTTATCAATGTTGTGATAGAGAGCAAATTTAGATGGGTGTTTTGGGGGGTCATGGTATTTTCTGTTTTACAAATGTGCCTTTGTTGGTCAAGGCACAGAGGAAAAGATCAGTAATGCGTAAAGGCTTATCAAAACAGCTTCAAACATTTTGGTTCAGTTTCACCTGTTTCCAAAAACAGCATCGGGGTTTTCTTTTCCAGTATGTCTTCTGCCACTTTTGGAAGCACTTGCCAGATATCAGATTTATAAGCTGCTATGATTCATTGCCAGTATATGTTGGCATCCTCTTCTGCTTATGGAAGAAACAGATAGAGACAAAGGCATCATAAGCAATGAAGGCACCAGCTGCAGCAGCATAGCAGAAAAATATTGCAAGGAAATGATGTGATGTCAAATGAACAGTTTTACTATTTAAAAAAACCCCAGAGCACTATGGGAATCATTGCTGCTGTTAAAGGATAGAGGTTCCAAGTATTTTTTAAGTCCTGTGTCCCCTCCCCCAAATTGCAGATCACTCAGATCACGCATTCATGCATTTGAAGAGCTAAGTCAAATAACTTCAATACATTCTATGTAATACAGTATAGCTGTTTATACTGCATCCTTCCTCCTGCTGCACAAAACACTTTAGCTGCTCAGTACTTAAGAGTTTCTTTGCTGGAAGGAATACTTGCTAGCATACATGAGAATCTGAATATGGGCACTCTAGAGATATATGGCTGCATTCTGACTTCATAGAACAGCTGCATACTGTTAGTGGAAGGCGGAATACTCCTGATATTGTCCTTCGTCTGTTTACCTCACTATGTGATACTTTGTTTTCTTTCCTAAATACCACGAAACAAGTAAAATGAACTGTAACACATATCTTGGATCTCTTTCACCCCCAGGTAATGCTAAAGAACTTGCCAGCATTCTGAAGTACCACATCGGGGATGAAATATTGGTTAGTGGAGCAGTTGGTGCAGTTGTAAGAATGAAGACCTTGCAGGGAGATAAACTGGAAGTCAGCACTGTAAGTTCAACTCCCCCCCCCCTTTATCTCTTCTTGTGAAATTACTGAGTTGTTTATCTGCAAATACCTTGAATTTCTGAAAAGCAGACAATGGTTTTATTGTTGTATTTCTCATTTCTGTACTTGTATAATATCCTCTTATCCTTCTTCCTTCCCTGCATTTTTGTAAGAAATCATGCAGGATAGTTATATTAACCAGTTAACAATGTTCACACAAAACTTTACCTCCCTGGGATTCTTTTGTGGGAGGCTGGGAGGGGAAGAGAAGATTAGAAGTGAGCCTCAATTTTGCATATTCTTTCTCCCTCCTCTCCTCACCATGGAGGAAATGTAGGCTTTATCTCACAATGACTGAGTGATCTCATGTTCAAATCTATCCCCTATCCATTCATTCACTTCTAGAAGTGAATAGAGTAGTGGAGATAGTTCAAGGTTTGTCCTGACATATAATCTGAATAGGTACAGGGTTGTCATGGAAGGTTTAGAGGAAACTAGACAATGATGTTTATCATGTCTCTTAAACAAGAACAGGAACCTTCAGACTTCAAACCTGGACACAACTACGGTAAGTCCAGTGCCATCTGTGACAAAGCTACATAATGACACTATCCACAGAGGAACATAGGCTGGAAGAGAAAGTCCAGCTGTGTGTGGTTAGCAACTACCAACAAAATACACACACTGTCTAGACACTTGCACTGTTACATAATAACGTTATCTCATTTTAATAACCTTCTTTTCACTTGTCAAAAACACATGCAGTGCTGTTAGCAATCATGGCACGAACAGCTTCGCAATGAGCTTCTACTGATACCGTAATTCTGATAGTTTATGCAGCAGATGCATTCCTTGATCCATGGCAGTGTTTTGGGGATTAAGCACAGCCTAGTGCCCCTCAAGACTTATGCTGGCCTAGCGGAGCAAGGGACAGCCTGCAGGAAAATAGGAGTCTGTTTGTGGCTGCCTGCAAGGGAGGAACCACAAAAAGCAATCTTACATTTGTTTAACATAGTCTGCATCCACATTCTTACTTATTGGAATCCCAGGCCTCTGAATACAAAAGTTTGCTCAAACAAACAAACTGCTTGGGTGCAGCAGATTTCAGTGCAATATGCTGCTGGGTCTTTTGGAGAAGATTAAAAAAAAAACCTTCTGCATATTTTCTCCTCTAGAATTATTTCTCCTAGCATATGTTTCTGATGACTTATCTCTGCTTCTTTTTTTTCTCTTAAGAAAAACCACATCATAAATGTCAACAAGGAACCTGTGGCTGAAGCTGATATTATGGCCACTAATGGTGTGATTTATGCTGTGAATACCGTTTTACAACCATCAGGTAAGTCAAGTTAGGTTCAGGAATAAAAGAGATCTCCACCCCCTCCCTCAGGTTTGCTTCTCTTTCCTAAGGAGTTAAGGTCACATTATTATTACTGTGGAGCAGCAGTGAGATGCACATTTCCTGTGCAGCAGGAAACAAGTGGGTAATTCTCATCTTCCTGAGAAACATTATATTTTCAGTCTCCAAAGCCCTCATTCACTTCAAGCGTTAGGAAAACTGCATGTGCCATATACGTGATTGGAAACATTGGGAGGGAAGAAGGGAAAGTGATTTTGCAGGGCTGTGAATCATAATTTCCTTTGACAATTTAACAAAAAACATACTGGACACAATATTTTTGGGTGGGTGGGGGTCAGCTTACAAGCAGGCTGCTCCTGGTGAGCCAGCTCAAAGGGCTCCTTTGAGAACAAACAGGATGTTTGCCTGCCTACTCATCCGTGAGAATGATGGCAGTGGTGTTGATTTGAGCTCCAGGCCTCTTTACTTAATATGGAAGTGCTGAAGACAGCAGAGTTGGAAGAGAGCCCCCAGGATCATCTAGTCCAACGCCCTGCAATGCAGGAATATGCAGCTGTCCCATATGGGAATCAAACCTGCAACCTTGGCGTTATCAGCACCACACTCTTAACTACAACTTCTATCATCCCTAGCCATTTCCCATGCTTGCTGGGGCTGGTGGGAGTTGTAGTTCTGCAAAATCTGGAAGGCTAAAGGTTCCCCACATCCCAACCTATGTTCTTAATTGTGTTCTACCCGAAAGTCTACCAGTTTTGGTGGATGGAGGGCAATGATAGGTGCAGTGGACAACTCCTAAAAATACAATGTACAATCCAGCTGTAGTATTTTCCCTTTCCTGCATATGGCAACAAAGCATTTCTCTTAAGGAAGTATCTAGGATAGTATGTGGAATTTTATGGGTTTGCGCACAGAGCAGGTTGCTTGGACAGACTGACAGCAGAGTTCGAAGCACTGGTATAGAGTTGTTTCCATTGCATTTAGTTCCTTCCATAAATTTGTGTCCTGCCTGTTCATTTGATGCTTAAGGTAGCTCAAGAAACAAAACACCAACCCAAAATAAAAGCATTACAACAGAACGTTGTAATTTGGTCTTCTAAATTAATGGAAGCAGAAAACACCCACAAGTGTATTTGAATGTTGTTTAAACGTTGTTTGTGTCTTTTAGCTTCCAGGCCTAATGAAAGAAGTGATGAGCCTGCCGATCCAGCACTGGAAATCTTCAAGCAAGCCTCTGCATTATCCAAGGTAAGCATAATGCTCAAGCAGCATATCGAGACATTTCTAATGTCCCTGTATTTGGACATGGACAACATAGATCATATCACTGGAACCTACATTCAGATTAAATTATTATAATTTATTTACTTGTTCCACTTTTAAACTGTCCTTTTCAATTAAGATCCTGGGGCAGCTTGTAAAATATCTAGTTGAAACTATAATGAAACCACTAAACCTTTAACCACTAATTTTATAATCATCATCATCATCATCATCATCATATTCAGGCTCTCAAAATCAACAGAGCAGAGGGCAATGTAATCACAACAGACCTTGAACACATCAATCTCCTGCAAAGGCCAGGGTAGACAGATGTGTCTTAAGCTGCTATCTTCCAGATCAGTTATGCTCACATGTTGTGAAGAGGGCAGGGAGAGAGCCCATGTGAGTTAAGGACTTGGCCCACTGACTTTGTCACCACACATAGAGGTTTGCAACAGGAGGTACTCTTTGAACATATCCAAAAATGTGCTTGCTTGGAAAGATCTCCCACTGATTACAGTGAAATTTGCCTGTCTGCAGCCCCCTCCTAAAATCACAATCCCAAGTATGTAGTGAACCATACAGAACCAATGGAACTGGTATCCATGGATCAGATGTGAAATACTCTGTACCAGCTCCCTAAATCATGCTATGCAATCTCTCATTTGGCCATATTTGAATGGCCTCCAAAGTAATGGCTGTGGTGCAAATGGCCTCCCCCAGGCACAGCCTACTTCTCCTAGTTTTCTTTCCATCTTTACAGAGGCTTACGGTGGTAGCAGCCAAGGGCTGAAGTTAGACCTACAGCAGCTTTTCAAGTGGTGCAGGGGGAACTGCAGGGCACACAGATGCTGTTCTGACACAAGCTCCCTTCGGTCCCTGCCCCCACCCCCATAACACTGCTCTAATATGGGCAAGACCCATGCTTACTAAAGGGATGTTTTTGTTTGGGGTTTTCAATTGCACACCAATTTGCTATAAAATTATATAAATATTATTGATTTGTTTCATCTGTACAAATGTAAACGTTCTCTCTCTTTTCCCCCCTTGCAGATTTCCCACAGGAATGTTCGATTAGGTAAGCAAAATTTTCATGCCACGTAACTTAAATGGTTCCTCTGTTGTGTGGCAGCTACCAGGATTTGTAGTAGCATCCCTTGCCTCACCCATGAGAACCATTTGTGTTCTCTCAGAACATGGGCATGTTTAATCCACTCACAGGGACCTCCATATATTCCAGGCATCTTCACTTGATATCTTACAAGTGCTGTGTGGGTGCTTGCCAGTGGAAACATTTTTAGCCACGCTCTCAGTGGGGGTCATGTATACTCTGGACCCCCTCTGAATTTGCCTGCTGTTGTACCCTTCTGGGAAGCAATGCCATTCCCTCCTTTCTTACTGAGGCTTTCCTTCTCTTTGTTTCTTGTAGGCTCTTCAAGGGCAATTCGCTAAGGCTGAGTTGAACTATCAGCTATGAAAAAATGTTTGGGATAACAAGGAATGTGAAATGCCCCAGTCAAAATACAAACATGTGTTGGAAGTAGGGAGATATGCTCAGCCATATTTCCCTGTCTCCCACTGCTCCTTTCACTGAGACAGACCACTGGTCCATCTAGGTCAATAGGGATGCAGGTGGCATTGTGGTCTAAACCACTGAGCCCCTTGGACTTGTTGATTGGAAGGTCGGTGGTTCGAATCCGCGTGGCGGTGGTGAGCTCCTGTTGTTCTGTCCTAGCTCCTGCCAACCTAGCAGTTCGAAAGCATGCCAGTGCAAGTCGATAAATAGATACCACTGCGGCAGGAAGGTAAATGGCATTTCCGTGCACTCTGGTTTCCGTCGCGGTGTCCTGTTGCACCAGAAGCAGTTTTGTCATGCTGGCCACATGACCCAGAAAGCTGTCTATGGACAAACGGTGGCTCCCTCGGCCTGAAAGCGAGATGAGCACCACACCCCAGTCGCCTTTGACTGGACTTAACTGTCCAGGGGTCCTTTACCTTTTACCATCTAGGTCAGTACTGCCCACACAGGACAGCAGCTGCTCTCTAGGGTTTCAGTCAGGGTTTCTTCCCAGCCCTACCTGGAGATAGGGAACATTGCTTGGCCGCTTAGGCAATGTGAGGGACAGGTTTCCTTTCCCTTGCATAGTAGGCAAACAATCCCTCTCCTCTTGTCCTGCCTGGTCTAGACATGCAACAGAGTGAGGTGATAAAATCCTGAGGCAACAGAGTGGCCTATGCCATTTCAGCCTGCAGATGGTAGATTATATTTTTTGAACACTTCCCCACATTTTAAAATACACCTCCTTTTAAATAAAAGCTAGGTTCTGGCTCAGTCTGTTCCCTGCTCTGCGACAAGGGAGGGCTTGCAGGGTGTTGTTTTAACAGAGGGACATATTTTATAAATGTAATCCCCCCACCTGGAATCTGAAGTGGTACTCTTCATTCTTCCATCTCAGGATGTTGCCACCAAATTCATAGCAAATTATGCTGTGTATGTAAATATAATGTATTGGTCAGGAGACACCTAGATGTTTCAGTGCATACTCAGTCAAGGGAATACTATACCCCACTGTGAAGGGGATAGTATACTATTATATCATATCACCCCATTCTTGCAAATTGCCATGTGCATGCCAGAGCACTGTGGCATAGGCGTCCAACTTCGTTTAATGAAGCTTAGCAAATCCAGTGGAATTAAGTATCTGGGAATGAGTGCCCGATTGCAGTCAATGTTCAAAACAAACACTGTAGGCACATTCTAAAGCATCTTTCAAGCAATTCAGTTTTCATTTGGCTGTGAACAGCTTTAGAGAGGAACAAAATAACATGGTGGTAGTAAATGGTTTACTGATTTTAATTTGAGAAGACCTCTGACTATCTTTTTGATGCAGCCATAGATGATTAATGCAGTTGTGCTTATGACAGCGTCTCCTTCTCTCCTTTTTCAGCTCCTGTGTATTCCAGATTGTTAGCCAGAATGAAACACTAAAGCAACAGCCATTCTGTATATGTAAAGCACAACCAAGGATTCAACTAGCTTTTGCCATTGGGTTGCTGAAAAGAAGGACTTTGTTTTCTACAAAACAACAACAACAACACCCACACATACACACATGCCACCATGTATTACACAAAGGTTATGTTTTTTTCAACTGAAATGAAGGAGAGAAAATAAAAGCCATATATATTTAAACCATTGTTTGATAAGCCTAATTTTGTTACAGTTGGTAGCTGAGAATTCAGGAAGCCTCAGGTATGTGTGTCTACTCCAAAATTATTTAGGCCCAGCCTCCAGTTGTGCAAGAGCTAAAAAATGACTTTGATTGCAAGACACGCTAAAATCAATCCCTCTCTGGTTAGTATTTAATAAAAATGTTTAAGGTTTGCATGCGCTGTCAAGAACTGCACACACTGCCTTATGCTCAGAATCCTATTGAATATCTGAGGCTTTGGCTTTAGAAAAGGGAGTTATTCAGAAATGCAGCCTGAATTAGACTCAGGTTGGCTTTCAATTGCTACAGTCTGTCTACATGGTTTTGAGTGCAGGTACGTAGACTGATCCTCCACTTTTGCACACCGTCACCGCTAAAACCAAGATTCGTGAAGCTCATTTGTCCAAATTGGCCCTTCCCATTCTTGAGGGTCAGTGAGATGAATGGCCCGTTTTCTATAAGGTGCTAACAGTAGTATTTTCCTACTTAACAGAGTTTTGTCGTGAAATATTTTAGAAGATAGCCACAGAAGCATTTATTATTCATTTCTATATGTATATTGGTAGGTACAGATGGATCATGAGTGGTCTCTGTACTGTGGTGCTTTTCTTTTTCTTTAAAAAAACCACAGAGTTTTTAAAAGAGTCTTGCTTTAGAATAATAATCCAACTTTGTGACTTTTCCACAGTTTATGGCTTTGAGGCTTGCAAGCTTACAGATAGGATATTCTGATTTGGTCTCTCATTGTTAATGGGGTTGGTTGGGGCTTTCAACTACATTTTGAAAATGAAGGCAACAAGCTTCATAGCGATTACATAAAATCTTAATACCGTTTTTCAGAGCACACAGCCCAGGCATGACTTAGACATAAATTTGTATGTGGACATTTTAAAGGATGTAAAAGTACAGCTTGTGCCTTCAGTTAAAACTGGCTATTTAGGTCACAATACAGGTGCTACAGAACTAGCTCCCTACATGCTGTGGAAGCTTTCTCATTCATCCACCTCTGATAGAGAACAAAACCTGTCAAAAATTCAGGAGATTTTCTTTAAAAAGGGGGGAGTTTCGATGTAACGTACACTTACAAAAAGCTGCCTGTGTGTGGACAAACTATCACACATTCTAACACGAGCTCTCTGAATTGCGGCCTGTAGTCTTAAGAGACTTTGCTAGGCACTCTCTGAACAATGCCAGTTGTGTACTTCAGCAAGAACATGTGGTTTTTATTTTCTTCCCTCCTGTGCTTTGAAAATGTTCCACACAATTCTGTGTCTTGGCTTTTTTTTTTTTTTTTTTTAAGCCTCATTGATGATATTAGGGAATTTGCATGATATAAGCTATGGTTTGATCAGTGCTGTCAATAAGCTTTTGTTTACACATATGGTTCTAACTTTAATATCTTTTTTCCTTCCTGAGAACTGACAATACATCCTCTCTGTAATGTGGTCATAGAGCAATCCCTCATCAAAACCTTCAAATAAACAATTCATTTGTGATAAAACTTGGGTTTTCTTTTAAATATATAAATTGACTGTGTCAGTAATATTACAAGTGACACCAGCATACTTTGTTTAGGGACACAGTTTTACCTCAGATAGCTTTTAAGAAATCCCTTGAGTACCACCCCAAAATACTGCCAAGTCTTTCTGCAGATTTTACACACTGTGAAGCTTTTCTTTCGGCCATTTACCTCAGAGTATTACCTCACACTATCCTGGCAGTGAGGAAGTAGGGCACTGCCATCTCAGTTTGCACATGGTAACTTATTTGTTTGACAGTATCTCCATGTGAAAATCACACCCATTTCTCTTTTTAGAAAGAAGGTTCAAAAAGCAACTTTCCTTGATACGGCAAGTTTTGATACAAAGCAGTCATTTTCAAATGTGGACACTTTCAAGCATTCAGATTCAGATATGGGATGGCACAGAGGCCTGGCAGAATTGGCAGGGCTGGGGGGGGGGAAGAGAGATTGAAAGTGTTGCATAAATATTTTACAATATTCTTAGTTTAATTTTTTGGACATATTCATGAGATAGCTTAAAGACGCCCTTCACCCACTATTTATTTATTTGTAACTATTTGGACTAATTATTTATTTATAACTCAAAACAACTACAAAAATGTGATTAAGAAAGTTTTTTTGAAAAATAAATAAAAATAAAGTAGCACATGGTTGGCAAAGCCAGGCTTTCAGCAATTATCAAGAGCTTTGTGAACATGAAACATAGTTGGAGAACAAATATTTTGTTCCTGGTGTTTTGTTATCTGGGCATCAAACTATTCTGTTGATTGCGTAGGTGCCATATTCATGAACATGCTATGGTAATGCTACCAGCTGGCACCATTAAGAGCTCATTTGCCAGGTACCCCAGTAAATGCCTACTTCTCCCAATGACACTTAGTTCAAAGGACTTTTTGTGCATTTGTAGTCCTTCCAAGAACCCAGTAAAGTAGGGCACTATTAACATCCCTGCAAAGCAGGGCACTATCAATTCGTAATCCTTGCAATAACCCTGGGAAGTAGTTCCAGTTACAGATAGGTAGCCGTGTTGGTCTGCCATAGTCAAAACAAAAAAAATTCCTTCCAGTAGCACCTTAAAGACCAACTAAGTTAGTTCTTGGTATGAGCTTTCGTGTGCATGCACACTTCTTAGGGCACTGTTAATCAATACCAGCTTACCCAAGATTGCCCAGCCAGCCAGTCAAAAGTTTGCTCCAGCAAAAGTTTGATTCTCTTCCTTGCCTAATTCATCAGTCATTATGGTGTAGTACCACCTCTAGATTTCCACATTTAATGATGGTGCTGGATTTCTCAGTGACACATGCCCCTTCCTACGTATAATTTATTGACAGAACCTGTGGCCTTTGAGCTGCTCTTCGACTCCACTGATTATGTTTCTGGGGCAGATGGGAGTCAAAGTCCAGCAACATCTGAAGGGCCACAGGTCCCCCACCCCGTTTTCAAGCATTCTGGTGTGCACAAGAATTGGAATCGAAGGAAAATATTCAGAATCCTATATAGAACTAAGCACTTCAAACAGGAGTCTGCAAGCCACATCCCAATGCCTCCCTTGCCATTGCTCATGCTAAGCCCTGGGAATCTTGCCCTTTTCCATACCCAGCGAAACAATTTGATACGACACAGTTTGAGTTAGTATTACGCATCCCATTCAAGGGACTCCCGTGCTCTTTTTCAATATAAGATGCAGGTTTGTCCACTCATACAAGCATAAGAACAGCCTGCTGGACCAGGGCAATTTCTAGTCCAGCATCCTATTCTCACAGCGGCCAAACAGATACTTGTGGGAAACCTGTAAGCAGGAACTGGGCACAAGCACACTCCCCTCCTGTGGTTTCCAGCAACTAGTATTCAGGAGCATTGTTGCCTCTGGCTGAAGAGGCAGAACATAGTTCTAGATAGCCTTATCCTCCACAAATTTGTCCAATCCTCTTTTAAATCAACAACAGTTTAAATCAAATTTTAAATTGTGGTGCTACCCAATGGGAGGGGAAACCCCTGCCCCCTACCATAAACTAGGAGAGGAGGGAGTGTCACAGAGTAGGACAGGCTGTTGTTTTTCTTCCACAGGGGAATATTCAAATATAAATGACCTCATCTGAAGCCTGAGTGGCACCACTTGGTCCTTCTCACTGTATAAGCAGACCTAATGTTTATGCAGGAGAAGTTGAAGCATTTCCTTCAAGAGAATACTTCTGACCTCTTAGAGCTACTTCTTTTCCTCATATCCCCAGGAATGGGGATAATAGCATGTGCAATACTGTGGTTTGGAACAAAAAGCAATGGTGCACTGAAGCACAGTGCTATTAAGTGCTAGAGGGATTCCGATAAACAATGGGCGTGAAAGAAAATGCTTCAATGGCTTAAAATAAGAACCGAGTGCTTCCGAAGAAAAACAACCATCCCAAATTCTCACGGGAGAAATATACATTTAAGAGCAGAAGAACTATGCCAGAACAGCATAGTTTGACAGAGAGGGCTGCTCTCCAAAAGGAGAATTCTCAAAGTCTTCAGTGTTCTGTGCTCTGGATTAGGGGTGAATGGAGACAAGGTCCAGCCAGACTTCACAAACAAAAATCAAGCACAGCACAGCAAAACCAAGCTCACAGATGTTCTAAAGGCAAACGAGGAAATGAAAGAGGAACTTTTGAAAAAGGAAGGATTATTCACATATTTCAAAACTAGTCTTAAACATCTATTGTACTGCCAGCTCAGGAGAAAGCAACCTTAAATTATTACGGTGAAATATCAAACCCTATTTGGTTCTAAGCCAGTGAGTCACAAATCTGGAAGTCATTTTTACTCACCTGCAATAAACTGACAAGACAATCCTATGCAAGTCTAGGTTAAGGGACCCCTGACCATTAGGTCCAGTCGTGGCCGACTCTGGGGTTGTGGCGCTCATCTCGCTTTATTGGTCGAGGGAGCTGGTGTACAGCTTCCAGGTCATGTGGCCAGCATGACCAAGCCACTTCTTGCAAACCAGAGCAGCCTACGGAAACACTGTTTACCTTCCCGCTGGAGCGGTACCTATTTATCTACTTGCACTTGACGTGCTTTCGAACTGCTAGGTGGGCAGGAGCAGGGGCTGAGCAACAGGCACTCACCCCATTGCAGGGATTCAAACCGCAAATTCCACTAAGTTCAATAGGACTTACTCCAAGGTATAGGATTACAGCCTAACCTGTCAGGTCTATTCAGAGTGCCACTATTATGTCTGTGGCTCATTGCCTACATGTATTAACAAACTCCATTATGGGACCTGGCAGTTTTGTATAAGCATCACATTTGTGACTTGTGTCCATTTGGCACACTGGAAGAACTCTGTTTTTTACTTCCATTTTGTATCCATGCTTATGAGCTTCCTTACTCTATGAGGCATCAGCAGCTGATAGCATCTCCACTTTTTGTTCATGTAGAATTTGTTATGATCAAATTCACGGCTGATAAAATTCATGCTCCCTAA